AAAGCAGGTGTTGTGAGAGAATGATGGAGTCAATATATGTACTAATGTGCTGGACACAAATGATATATGTACCGATTGTGATGAGTTGTATGAGCCCCTAATAAAATAATTATTTTAAAAAAGCAAAAAGATGCTTAGTTTTTAGAAAAAGAAGTGGGAACTCCCTAAATTCTATAGGTGCTTCATTTGCCCAGCCCCTCCTCTCCTTCCTTCGGAAGATTTATCAGGATTTGTGAGCAATGTTAATGTTTAAGCTTTCATACCAGGAGCATAATTCTGACTAGCAGTTTGAAAAGTTCTGGGAAGTTTCCTTAACAACCAAGCAGATCCTTAGCTTCTGTGACCTCCTTCTCTCCTGACTCGTGGTCCCTGAGCCCTTGTGGGCGGCCTGTTTCCTAGATGGAGCCCCGCCCTTTCTTGGCACCATTTCCTTTTTGAAGTTAGGCTTGTTGTCCAGAGAGAGGCTCTGTCAGTTGGGTGTCATCGGGTGGGTTACAACTGAACAGGCTGTATATATGGCCCTTTCCAAACCTCTGACATCCAAAGTCACTCTGGACAGTTTGGAGAAGGTTCTGGAGCCCTGGTGGTGGAGTAGTTACAGACAGTTTGAAACCTCCAAAGCTGCTAAGGGTCTGCAGTTCGAAACCACCAGTTGCTCAAGGGTGAAAGTGGGTTTTCGACTCCGTTCAAGAATTACTTTCAGAAACTCACAGTGGCAGTTCTACCCGTCCTAAAGGGTCACTGGGAGTGGGAATTAACTTGGTGGCAATAAGTGAGTGACCATAATTTATAACTGAAAACCTGTATTAGGAACCATGGTGGAAACCGTACCCTCATCATTCTTGAGGGTCCTCTCCAGGGAGCTTGGGGTAGGGGGTAGTGTGGACCGGAAATGGGTCGGAGAGTAAAAGTCTAGTGATACTCCAGTCCAACTTTCTAAATCTTGGGGAGGCAGGGATGCAATCTGCCCCGCGAGGATTGTCCTTTACCCAGGGCTGCATCTTGCCCAGGCCATCTCCAGGACATTGGGACGGCCTGTGAGGGTGGGCAGGAGGAATCTGGAACCGCAAGAGCCACCCACACCCTCCTCCTCCGCAGAGCATCTGGGTGGGGAGGTGGCCTTTCAGCGAGAGAGTGAGGAAGAGAAGGGGGAAGAAAGGAAGGGAGCTGGAGGTGGGAGTGGAAGTGGCCGCCTGGCCCGGGGCTGATTGGCTCCCTAAGCCAACCCTCTCCGAGCGGTTTATAAGAGTTGGCGCGGCCGGGCGCGCTGCCCGCGCGCACCGAGTCGGCACCCCGCACTCCCGGCCCCGCCTGGCCCACGTCGGGCTCCGCCACGGTGCCCGCAGTTGGCGGCGCGGGCGGCGAGACGCGGACTGAGCGCGAGCGAGGGGAGAGCGCCGAGCGAGGGGGACCGAGCGCGATGCGCCGCGCCAGCCGAGACTACACCAAGTACCTGCGCGGCTCCGAGGAGATGGGCAGCGGCGGCTCCAGCGCCCCGCACGAGGGCCCCCTGCACGCCCCCCCGCCGCCCGCGCCCCCCGCCGCCTCCCGCTCCCTGTTCGTCGCCCTCCTGGGGCTGGGACTGGGCCAGGTCATCTGCAGCGTCGCCCTCTTCCTCTACTTCCGAGCGCAGGTGGGTGCCCTGCCCACAGACTCCCGGGCGCGCAGGTTGGGGCGCACCACCCGCGTTCCCCCGCAGTTGGGTCCCCGAGCGTGGTGGCCTAGCTCACTCCCCAGACCCCGTGCCTTCCGGCGTGGGAGAGTGGCTGGCGGGATGGGAGAGCGAGCGCCTTGGCTGAGAGCGGGCCGGGCTGCGCAGCGCTGCACGTGGCGGGCGCGCTAGCCTTGTTGCTTTGCTGCGCACCTGTGGGCTGCCTGGGCGGGGTTGGTTTGCATTTACCCTTTGAGGCAGCATTGGCCGCTGCTTACCTTTTGTAGACGTGTTTGAAAACTACCCCCTACGCCACCACCTTACCCCATCCTTCCATTTCACCGGTGCGGATATGAGAACCAACTCCTTGAATAGCAGTCTGAGCAGTGGCAACTGATTTGGTTGGGTTTTGGTTACTACCCATTGAGAGAGAGAGAGAGAGAGAGAGAGACCCCAACCTTCTCTTAAGCTTCCACCCTTTCCCTTCCAGCCACCACTTCAGGGGTTTCTGTTTCTGAGCCTGGCTGTGCCTCTCAGGACCACAGGGAGGGCAGTGCCAAAGGGGATGGTGGCTGCTGGCTGAAGTAGTGAGTGACTGTGCCAAGCAGCCAGAAGGCCACATGGCACAGCCCAGAACAAGAATCAGCCGGGGGGCTCAGCTGCTGCAGCTGTGTGGCCCTGTGAGACTTTACTCAGGACTCATGTGAGGGGGACAGGGTAGGGTGGGGTGGGGCGGGTGTGTTTGGGAGGGATTGCCCAAATTCTCTAGCTACAACGCAGATAGTAACCAACCTTTCAAAAGACCAGGCAGGCAGGAAGATAGTAGGAAGGAAGGGGTAAATGTGTAATATTATGCTTTCTGGTGGTTTATGCCCTTGTGTTTTCTTGGAAATTGCAGGGCAGTTGGTTGGATTCATTCAAATATTCTTGTCTGGTGCTGTGAACTCTTTTCTCAGAGGAAGTAGGGGGCTGACTGTGCAAAATTTTTTTATGGGAAAAAAAAAGCGAGTTGGGTTTGGGCTCCATTTGTTTTTAGACTCAAAGGTAACTCCTTAACCCAACTGGATGCCCCCTAACGTGGCATTGCTGGGTTGTCTAGGTTTTTGGCGTGTGCCAGCAGGGTGAACACCATTGCTCTTCAGCACCCGGTTTTGGTTAAAATACTCATTATCTGCTAGCTTGTTTTTTGTTGTGGAACTTTGTGGATTCACAGCTAAAGCACAAGTAGAAATGTTATGAGCATTCATGTGCGTGTATTAGTAAATATTCCTTACCTGTTAAGGTTACCTGACAAGTTCCCCTAAAAAGATGGCTTTGAGGGGCTGCTTGCGACGTAGATGACCCAGTGATGACATAGTGACACCGAGGGTGATGACACATTTTCCTCTCACGGGTCTACATGGCAGTTGAGTCACTTGGTCACCCCATGGGTTCTTTTTTACTGGTTTGTGAGGTGTCTTTGTGTCAATTCTGACTCCGGGGGACGCCGTGTGACAGAGTAGAACTGCCCCATAGGGTTTTCTTGGCTGTAATCTTCACCAAAGGATTGTTATTTCTTTCAGGAAGAGTCAGTAGGTTTGAAAGCAAGACCCCTTCCTCCCTATTCAATGCGTGTGTGCTGAGTGCCCCCATCATGCATTGCTCTTTTAAGCACAGTGGAGCATGTACTTGCTCCAAGTAAACCTCAAGGTCACTGCCATCGAACCACTTCTGACGTACAGTGACCCTCCAGGGCAGCGTGGAACCGCTCCTGTGGGTTTCCTAGACTAAATCACTATGAGAGTAGAAAGCCTCATCTTTCTCCCAAGGAGTGGCTGGTGGTTTATGAACTGCTGACCTTTCAGTTAGCAGACCAGCTTGAAGCCCATTGTGCCACCGGGGTGCACTATGAAACATGAGCTAAGAGTCATATGCCCCATATACATTGTGTACCTACCGTGTATATGGCGCTGTGCCAGGTTAATGAAAGGGTAGGAGATTTACTGGGTTCTGTCTTTTAAGTGCCAATGAAAAGACATGTTTCAATTCTCTTCATCACAAAGAGGGCAGCATTCAGAAAAGAGCAGGAAAACATAGTCGTTCTCGACCCTTAAACTTGTCAGCCCCTTAGGGAGCTCGCATTTTCAGAGCGGGGACAGTGAAGTGACTGCTCAATGCTGGAAGAGGAGGAGAGAGGGAATGAGTGAGTTCTAGGGACCAGGCACAGCATGGTTTGCTGTGGCCATGGAGGAAACAGCGACCTTATTACAGTTATCACAGGACTCTTGCTACAGTTGTTCAGCTTTCCAGTAAGAATTTTTAATATGGATGGGCTGGAGGACTGAAAAGACTGGCCTTGGGGTGGTCACGGGTAACTTACCTGTTGCATTAAAGTCAGCGATCGTTATGACTCGTGGATAATGGGAAAACTCCCAACCTCCCTCATGGGAGTAAACGGCTGAGTTTAGTAAGCCTCGCTAGAAAATTCTCATTTGAAGAGTTTAATGCCATCAGATTTCCAGCTACAATTTTCCTAAATGCCAGGAAGACTGAGTTTTCTCTAAGACTTACATAAATATTTGAGTCATTACTCTGAACACAGTTTTGGACTGCATTTTTTAAAAGGTTGTCTCTTTTAGGGTAGAAATCATATTGGGAGTAAGAGGCTCACGTGAACCTACCCAGAGATTTGGCTGCATTTTACAGGATGTTGGGTACCTGGGCTTCATACCTGAAAACATGACACCTGCTTTGAGAGAGAGTCTGAAATGTGCACAAGGAAAAGAGCATGGTGTCTAGAATTGGTTTCAAAATAATTGGTGGGGAGAGTGGGGGTTGTAGGGAAGTGGTTAGGTATAGAGGAAACAAGACTGGCCCTGGGTGGGTCATTGTTGAAGCTGGTTGATCAGTATCTCAGGGTGGACTTGTGTTCTTGTACTTTCATTTGTATCTGAGGCCTTCTCCTACAGTTTGTGTTAGCGACCTGCCTATTTGATCCATTTGATCTGCCACTGCTTTTCCATGCTCAGCGATAACAGCTTCTTCAGATTAGAACCTGGCACTAAATCAGAGAGTAGCATTCTATGATTATTTCCCCCCATAAAAATTGTGGCTCAACAAAGCAGGGTTTCTGACCGCATCTGACTGAGAATGGCACCAATGGTCTTGTTTGGAGAGTCAAAGGAACCAAGGGGAACCAGCTCCGCTTTATCTGATTACAGGCGGAGGAGCAAAACCAGGCGAACCTGCAAGAAAGAACAGTTTGGCTTACTAAGAGCGTAAGGAAGGCTGCTCAGAATATTATAAAAACCGCAGTGACTTTTTTCTTCCTTCTTCCCATTCTTCTCTTCTCAACCCGTGTTTGAGAAGCTGAACAGGAACCGACCTCCAGAGGGCTTGCAGCTTGCCTGTGCCTAGATGGGGGGAAGATGCACGAGATCCTGTGTCGGTTGGCAGCTCTCCCCAGCCCTGCCGCAGAGAAAATAGCATGTGGCTTGTGCTATATATTTACCACATAGTGTTCATACTTTGGTTTACAAAGAGGAATAAGAAAGACCTTTCCAAAGAGTTGCTCGTCAACCTTGGGTGTGCTTAACAGCCATAGAACCATATTCACAGTGGAGAGTGTAGCTACTAGATACGCTTTTGAGCAAACCCAGTTCGTTTGCTCTTTTAACTCCTTCCCCCAAATCACACCGACCTCGACCGCTGTTACCAGGCGAGGAGTGACAATCGGATGCAGACGGGTGCAGGCTGCCAGATAGAAAACCCAGATAACGGAGTAGCGTCAACGTCAAGCACCCTGCCTCACTTGGTGAAGTTAAGGGGAAATTAAAACACAAAGCGAAACAAAATAAAACACACCCCAGCAAGCAAAACAAACAAACAAAAAAACCCTGAGTTCTTTTCATCTGAACGACATCATCCGATAAATCCATTTTGAATCAGATACTGGAGATGATTTAATGATCCCAGGATGCTCGAGGTACTTTCCTTCGCTCGGTGGTTTTCTGGGAGGCTTTGCCACAAGCCTGGCGTCCTCGGTGGGGTGTGAGTTCTGGGACAGCAGTGACTAGGCCGCGCCCTGCCTCAGTCCAGTCAGCTAAACTGGTGCCTCACAGGGTACTGAGAAGGGGTTTCAGATCACTTGAGATTTCTAGTTTGCAACATGAAAATGATCTAATTAGTTGTCCAAGTTGACAAAATTTTATTTTATTTTATTTTATTTTTGGTCATCTAAATCCTCTTTGCTGACAGCTGTGTACCAAAAGGTAGGTTGATGGGTAGAATTGTTTTGGGAGCTTTTGTTGAACATCTGATACCATCCCCATGCTCTGTTCGGAGTTACTTCAACATAGAGGCCACTGGAGGGAGCCCCATGGTGCCGCTGGGAATCCGTCAGGCGGCTAATGGCAGGTAGTGGCTGCAAACCCACCAGTGGCTCCCACGGAGATTTCCCAAAACCCAAATCAAACTTCCTGCCACCAAATCAATTCTGACACCTCGCCACCCAGTGGGGCAGAGTAGGGCTGCCTCTATGGGTTTCCAAGACTGTAACTCACTATAGGAGTAGAAAGCCTCCTCCTCCTCCTGAGAAGAGGCTAGTGGTTTTGAACTGCTGAACTTGCGATTAGCAGCACATTGGGTGACTCACTACCAAGGCTCCTTTTGTAAAGATTTACAACCTGGGAAATTGTCACTTTGAGTTGGAATCAACTCAGTGGCAGTGGGTTTTGTTCTTGCTGCTGTTTGCTTATTTGTTTGTTTGAAGTGGGTCATTGAGCTTAGACCCCCAAACCTCAACTCTTCCCCTTTCTCTTGGTCTCCATTTTCCAGAAAGGAGGGCTGCCAGGACTCTGGAGCGAGAGACATTTTATTGTAGATGTAAAGTAATTTTCTAATGCATGATCCTTAAGTAAACAAATGAGTACATCAACAATAATTCTGCCATAGTTCCATCATTTCTTTTGGGAAACCAATTGCTGACAGTTTACATGTTTCAATTCAAATCCTGCCTTCCCAAACTGTAATTCTCATCACACACTGGAACTACATAGAGGAAAAGATACTAAAGTGGCCCCTGCTAAGTGCAGATTGAATTGGCCCAGAGTGAGATTTGGGCAGAAGGAGCCCTGGTTGCATAGTGGTTACACATTGGGCTGCTAGGCATAAGGTCAGCAGTTTGAAACCACGAGCCCTTCCAAGGGAGAAAGATGAGGCTTTCTATTCCTATAAAGAATTACAGTCTCAGAAAGCCCCAGGGGCAGTTCTACCCTGTCCTATAGACTTTCTGTGAGTCAGAATTGTCACAACGACAGAGATTTTGGAGGGAGTTTTGGGAGTTGGCATTTTTAAAATTGGGAAGAAATAAAATCTGGGCACTATGTTTGCATGCATTAAACGACGAATCACTGGTAACTGGTATTTGTACTTCGTTGTGCTCCTTCGAGTAGAATTTAAACATTTGTCTCCAGTGGAAATTGGAATCATTTTAACAGCAGGAATCTGTATTTGTGTACTTGACTTTTTAGGCATGCATCCTCAGACATTTTGGTGCATATGAATTGCTTTGCAACTAGTTAAAATGCAGATTCCCATGCAGTGCACTGGGCTGGGGCGTGGGCTTGATTTCCAAACAGCTTCCTGGGCTGATGAAGCTGCAGGTCCCTGGACTACACCTTGAGAAGCAAGGGTGTAGAGGACTGCTGCTTCTGTTAGGCACCTCAGAAGACCTTGTGTACAGAGTTTGAACTTAACCAACGATAAGGTCTATAGGTACTCAACCTGATGCTATGGGTTAGTATCAGGCTGTTAGCCAAAAGGTTGGCCGTTCAAACCCACCAGCCTTTCTGTGAGAGCAGGAGGCACCTATCTGCTCCCGTAATGCTGTACAGCGTTGGCAACCCTTTGAGGAGTTGGGACCGGCTCCATGGTACCTAGCAACCCCACAGCACAGGAGGCAGTGCGGCTCTGTCCTACAGGGCTGCTGTGAGATAGAGCCATGCCAAAGAGAGTGAGTGTGTTTTACTCCCAGCACTCTCCTCCAACACTATTTTCTTCCTTTAACCCAGTGGTTTTCTGATGGTGACCCACCGCTGGCCCATCGCAGGGCGCTTCTGTCTAGAACTTTTGACCCTTTGTATCAGTTGCCCAGGCCTCGCTGGTTTTGTAGAATACTTACCGATGTACACTTAGGTTAAGCCTTCTTCTTCTTTTTAAAGGAACACACAGATTCTGATTTGTCCTAAATGTTGTAAAGAAAATACGGAAGCTAAATGTGATCGCAAGTACGTGTGTTTCCTGGGTAGTTCCTGTCTCATGATCATGCTGTCAAGTTGGCCCTGACTCGTGGTGACGACCCCCAAGCACCACAGATGACCCCCAAGCAGGACCATCTCTGCAGGTCAGACTATTGGGATGCATTGATGGAGTTTTGGAACGAGATCATCAGGCCTTTTTTACTTAGTTCGATTTAGTCCGGAAGCTCCCTTGAAACCTGTGGTACGTATAGTCGTGACAACACACAGGTTTCATATGATGCTTGGTGGCCAAGAAGTGAACCAGGCCCTCCCACGCAGGAGAGAAGGGTTTACCACTAAATTCCCAATGCCTCAGCACCAGGTGACCAGATAGCCCGCGTATTTACAGTTCACATTAGTGGAGGCTTGTTGGTTGGAAGGCTGTGGCTTGGCTGTGGGGGATTCAAATACTGACGGGGGAACTTGTCCATTTAGTTCTGCTGGCTGGTTAATAACCAATGCACATCTGTCTGATTACAATTAAGAAGATCACCAGGAGGGAAAAATGAGGAGCTGATACCAAGGGCTCAAATAGAAAGTGGGTGTTTAGAAAAGGATGATGGCAACAAATGTACAAATATGCTTGATACAATTGATGGATGGATTGGTATAAGAGCAGTAAGAGCTCCCAATAAAATGATCTTTTTAAATAAATCAAACAAAGGGACAGAAGGTTTTGTATTCATTCTAGCTGAGCTTTGGTTATTTTCAATGTTCTTAATTTTTCATTTTTCCATAGGAAATGAATTCACATGAAGTACTTTGAATTTTTGAAAGAAGGGGACAATAAATTAAATGATTTTGATGAGGATAATCGATCATTAATTATAGCCACTCTTTTACTTGGTGGAATCTGGGTGATTCCAACAGCTTGGTTGCTGGTGGAAAGGTTAGGGACGTGAACCCACCCAGGGGTTCCTCTACGAAAGGTCTGCAAATCAGCCCTCTGGAGCTCTGTCTTCTCTGACACATGCGGGGCTAGGTGACTTGGAGTTGACCTGACAGCAATTGGCTTTCCTTCTTTGAGGAAGCCACAACAAAGGCTTCGTCAGAGTCTAGAGGCTGGGACCTCTCATGGTGTAGTTGATTACCCATTGGGCTTCTAACTGCAAGGTCAGCAGTTCAAATTTTCCATATACTCTAAGGGAGAAAGATGAGACTTTCTATTCTCTAAACATTTATAGTCGGGGGAACCCTGTCCTGTAGGTTTACTATGACTCAGAATGGACTTGACTTTAATGAGTTTGATTTCTTTTTGAGGAGCAGGAAGGCAGTTTGGGGAGATGACCAGTGCTTAAGAAACGCTGATACCAGGCCATCTGCTAATGGCACCATGGGGATGTTTCGGGGGGGGGGGGGGGATAATTGCTCACATGGTAAGAATGTTAGCATCACCCAGTGAGTATCGGCTGTCATCCTAAGCAGGCCATTTGCCCTATTGAGATCATCAGATGTCACCTGCACACATCCCCTGACACCCCTGACAGACCACCTACCTTTCTAACTGAGAAACAGTGGACCAGCAAATGGGAACGGGTGGGTTCTGGTTTCAGGCTTTGACTGGGGCCAGGAAAGGGCGGTCCCTCTCTCCTCTTATTACCATAGACAGTGATCAAGAGTGGCTAAAGGGGATGCGAATTCCTCGCTGGACCTGGGCTTTGCATTTTATATTATCCGACGGGTCTTTGCATCCTGGTCTTGTTTGCTGCCTGCAGCTTAAAGATAAAGCGAGTTCTCAGCCTGCACCCCCCTTCTATGAGACCTTCCTGACACCACTCCCCTCTAGGAAGGTCTTCATATTGTCAGACGGTTCTGCTAATTTCATACAAGCGCATGCCGTCAGACGTGCGCTCTGTGGGGGAAGATAGGCAGCTGGTCACCAAAATGAACGAGAAGTCCATGCTTTCCCTTGCTTAAGGAAACTCGAATGACCTCCTAGCTATCGGGGAAAGAAATGCTCTGGCAAGGTTTTGTTTGCAAGTCATGCTTTATGAAATAGCAGATTGATTAATGATACCCACTCTAAGGTCCTCAAGGAGCCCCAGAGGCCCTGCCGCCTGAGTGCTGGACACGCCACTCTGGCTGTCTGCTCCTGTACGGAACCCCCTCTACAGGTTGCTATGAATCTGACTTGACTCTGTGGCAGTGGGGTTTGCTGAGGTCCCGACTCTTATTTTCCAGATGGACCCTAACAGAATATCAGAAGATGACACTGACTGCTTTAAGAGGCTTTTCAAGCTCCATGAAAATGCCGATTTTCAAGACACCACTCTGGAGAGCCAAGACACAAAATTGATGTCGGATTCGTGTAGAAGAATTAAGCAGGCCTTTCAGGGAGCTGTGCATAAGGTAAGCTCTCATAGGCCAAGAGCCCTTGCTAATGTTGCCAGTACTGAAAATTACAATGGCTGAATGCTGTTGGCTTTGTGTGTGTGGGGTTTTTTTTTTTAATACTTTTATTGGGGGCGTTTACACCTCTTATCACAATCCATACATTCTTCCAATGTGTTTTTCTTGTGAGCATCGTACTAATTTATGAAAGACTCATGGCGATGCCATAGGACAGAGTAAAACTGGGCTTTGGCAGGGGAGGAGAAAGCCGCATCTTTCTCCAGTGGAACAGCTGGTGGTTTCAAACTGCTGACCATGCAATTAGCAACACAACCCATAACCCGCTATGCATCAGGGCTCCAGAACTGACTCGATGGCAGTGGGTTTGAGTTTGAATTTGTAAAACAGCGAAAGCGAATTTCTTTGTTGACATGAGCAGGATTCTTTTGAAGTTGGTCAGTGTTTGATTATGGAGACCAAAGGGGATGTCCACGTCAACAATCCGTCCTTTGGCTCTGTTTGTTTTTTTTTTAAGAGGAAGCTTTTAAATTGATATTGGGAAGGAGGACAAGGTGGTTTGTGGTGAGCTGCTGGGTCACGTTGCTGGTTTGAATTCACTGACCCAGAAACCATTCGCATCTCTCGCAGGCCTTTCAGGTCACTCCTTCCTTTCCACTTGGTTTTGTAATGGTAGGATGTGCTCCTCCTGATGGGTCGACCCAGCTCGGAGGAGAAGCGATTGTAACTGCCCTTTGGTTGCCATCTGTGGTCTGGAGGTGAGGAAGCAGACAGGATGTGATACGGTGGGTGGGATGGGCATTCTGTGTCCACTTGCGCCATCTCTGCGGGCACTGGGGGTGATGAGCATCAAGAAGACCAATGGGGGCAAGGTAAGATAAGAACCCCAGCAGCTTCAGTGAGAAACAGTGTCACAACTGGCTCTTTTCCTTCCCTGGCCAGACCCACCCCTACCTGCATTGCTCACCCGTGAGCACACCTGACTGGGTCATGCGTCCACTTCTTCATCCCAGCCTCTACCTTGCTGACAGAGAAAGGTTGGCTGCTCAAACCCATGTAGAAGAGGGGCCTGGCGATCTGCTGCCCATAGAGCACAGCCATGAAGACCCCTGGTTACCCGGCTTGGGAGGGACACTTGGCGTCACCCAAGCTCAGAACCAACTCAGCGCCAGCTCGCTCTTTCTTTCCAGGAACCGCTGGTCATCCCAGAGTACACTCTGAAACTGTCAAGGCCCTTACATGGAGCTTTCATTATTTCCTCTCTAATCCCCATAAGGAGCCCTGGTGACGCTAGCCACAAAGTTGGCAGTTCAAAACCACCAGCCGCTCCTCGGGAGAAAGATGAGGCTTTCTACTCCCATCGAGAGGTATTGTCTCTGAAACCCACATGGTCAATTCTACCCTGCTCAAACCATCATGGGGAGTTGGCATCAACTCCATGGCAATGAGTTTGGTTTGGGGTTTTATATGCTAACAGCATGGTTCCCTCTTACCCCCCAGAGTGGATGGTCTTGGAGGTAGAGTTGGGGCTAGAAGGTGCTTGGTAAAGGTAACTGCAGGTGGCCACATTCTCTTCCCATGGAAGGCTGGTAGGCTTGAAGCACCGACTTTTCGTTGAGAAGCTGAGTGTTTAACTCCTGCGTTACTAGGGCTCATCGGTGAGGGTCCCCCAAAAGGCCACGAAGAAAGGAAATAAGGAGACAATGGCATTTTCTCACGGACTTTTCCAAGCCCTTTTTATTCATCCATGTATGTTTATCTGTCTGTGTATATTATACTAACCCTTAGGAAATAGCATTTCCTACTTTCATTTTTGAGCTTCTTGAAGGCATACAGACAGGTCTGTGCAGAACGGCTGTTCCCTGGCAGTCTTGCAGTGGCCTCTGTCACACCGGTGTGCTTGCCCAACCCTGCCTGCCCCAGTAGGACTTACCTGTTCATCGCCTCATTCCCGTGGAGCCTTCGAAGAGACTGCCGAGAATAGTCTGATCAGCTAATTTGTATTTAAGTAGGGCAATGGGAAATCATGCTGAATTTTCCCTATTTTCAGAGCCTTCTGGTGACACGGTGTCAATGCTAATGAGTAGTACTAATTATGAGAGATTCCGTATCTGCAAACCAGGAGGAGAGGGAACTGAACAGTCCACGCTGACTCCAGGCCAGGCCATGCAGCTCAGAGTGGAATGTGCGCCGGAGGGTTTTTCGGAAGCAGACCACCAGGCCCTTCTACTAGGATGCCTCTTGGTGGACTTGAACTTCCAACATCTTGCCCAGTGGCTTAGTGGGTTAACTGCACCACCCAGGGAGTCCATAGCCAATGACTTTAACTAAAGGCACAGTCTGAATTATACTAATAGGTGATGACAACTCATAGCGAGGGTAGAAATTAATTTCACAAATTTCCCATTTGATGTTGTGCTATATATTTTAGCTTTTTTTTTTTTTGGAAGATAGCATTAGGCCCTCCTTGAAGGACCTGTAGGAAGGAGATCAACATTAGCTATACTTCTCGTTTAACTCAACCAGCAGCCAGGGGAGCCCTGTGGGCAGTTCTCCAGGGCCTGCCCTGAGAGTTGTCGTGAGTCGGCATCACCTCGACATCCAGGTGGACTGTAGGCTGGCAGAACTCTGCTGGGCACTTTCCCTCCAGGAGTCGTTCTTTCTGACCCCAGCCTCATCATGATTTGCCAGATGTGTCATCCTTTGATGAGGATTATTGGTGCATGTGACGTTCGACGCAGTGTGCCACTGTAATCAGCTTTTCCTCTCGCCTGCCAGTAGGATGGGGGCACTAGGCATTCACCCATAGCTTTGCATCTTCATTTCAGATCTAAGAAACTATTGAACGGACCCACACATTAAAGTGACATGTGTTGCTGATCATTATTGAGAAATCAACTCACCCAGTGGCAACAAATGCTAGACATAAGCACAGTATCACATATTGTGTGCAAAAAATGGTCTTTACCCAGCTCATCTTTGGTCAGACCAGTAATGCTGTTTCCCCCCCATTTTTTTGTTTGTGGCTGGGACTTTCGGCATTTTTCCCCCTTTAGCATAGAACCCTCAAAGCCTCTTAGTGAGCCAACCCTACCAACCACAATTTATGAAGTCTAGCATAACAGTCTGCGACAATAAAGAGAAAACGGGCATAAATA